GTACAGCCTTTCTGTACTCGTCCAGGGCAGGAAACCAAGGACCTAAGGAAATACCAGGTACAGTCTTTCTGTGCTCATCCAGGGCAGGAAACCAAGGACCTAAGGAAATACCAGGTACAGCCTTTCTGTGCTCATCCAGGGCAGGAAACCAAGGACCTAAGGAAATACCAGGTGTAGCCTTTCTGTGCTCATCCAGGGCAGGACAAACAGGCCAGGTGGCGTCAGGAGCCCAGGCCTCCAGCTGGAGGGAACTTCAACCCTGCAGTGGGAGCAGGGGCCCATCTCACATCTTAGGCACAGATGGTAATGTAGGCACCACAGGTAAGCTGGGCTTGGCACCCCCTTCCCCCCAGTTTCAGAAAGAATCCAAACAAGGAGATTTCTGCAGAATAAAACCTCCTTTCCTTCCAGAAGCACTGCTGACTATTTGGTGGTTGCAGTTTGTGGCAGTGAATCTTTTGTCTTTTCTGAGGTTGTGAGTGCTGATTTTTCCTCTTGGCCCTGCCGTACAGACCATAAAGGAGAACAGCAAGAGGTCCCCAGCAAACCCCACAGATGGCCCTGGACATAAACCACATTCTGAGAAACATGTCATGGTCTGGGAGGGCTAAGGCATCAAGTAAGGCCATGGGGCTGGCAGATCCCTGGGCAGGTGGGGCAATCCATAGCCATGGGGGCTTCCCATGGGAATTGGGAGGTCCCAAGGCAGAGGGAGGGCTTCTTCAGCAGGAGTCACAGAGCCACCAAGGGCTCTCCTGGCCCAGGGAGCAGTCAACACCATGGACTAAACACCTGCTGGGCTCCAGGCTCTGGACCAGGCTAGGGCATGTAAGGCTGGGAGGCAGCTCAGAGTGGGGGCAGAGAGAGAATTGTGCTCAGAGGGCACCCGTTTCTAGATGTGATGTGGTCCTGAGGTTCTGGCTGGGAAGTGCTTTCAGGGTTTCATATGTGTTATGGAGCTGCTTCCACTCCCTGCAGGAATCCCAGTGAATATATTGCCGCCACCTTGGAGGTCAGTCCCCTCATCGTGCGACAGCACCAGCAGATCTGCCTGTGCACGGACTTCCTCTTCTACCTTACTCCTGGGGGCGAGGCTTCTGCAGGGCCTGACTTGGAGCACAACTTTAGATACCATCATCCTGGAGCAGCACTGCACCCTCACTAGCCAGGCTGTTGATGACTTCCTCAAGACCAAGGCCACATTCAAGGCTTCATACTTCATTGATGCATTTGTGCTGAGCAAGGCGTGCTTCTCTAGGAACTCAATTCAGGAGGTAGAATGGAGCCTGAGATCAAGTATCTTATCAAGGAGCTTGAACTTGATCTGGAGGGCTCTAGGGAGCCATGGAAGGTTCTCGATAAAAAGGAGGGACAGTCAGACACATTGTAGAGATGACTGTAGAAGGCTGCCTTGAAGGAGTGAACAAGAGCCAGGAGACCAGGAGGGAGCTGATGGGGCAAGTCTGGAGATGGCAAGGGAGGGATCCTGCTTGGGTGAAAGGTCTTCAGGGACTGTCTCAGGTTACACTTAGCTGCCCTCAGAGCTTGTGTGTTCAGAGGTCTTGTCTTCAGGATGAAAATGGGAAGAAGTAGTCAGACAAGGACATATAAATGGAGGCTGGCATCTTCATGAGCGTCGGCGGTGGTCTCGGTGTGGGACTACTGTGGGAACAGCGGTCTCTCCATCCAGGGACATGGTGGATGGACCCTATATCACTCCATCCTGCTCTTTCTTTCCCTCCTCCCATTCACCCCAGGGCCTCCATGCATGGGCGCTGTCCATCCTCTGGTGCTGAAGCAGCCAAGAGACCCAAACCTGCCTGGCTGCCTCTTAGGATATGACAGCACAGCCAGTGACCTTTAGGCCCTGTACAACCTCACAAGACGCCCAGACACCGGGAGTGCTGCCAGCATGTGGTGCAAGAGCCCCGAGGTCCCACAATCCGCAAGACGTTGAGTGGTGGGTGAAGGGCCTCATGGCCTGTTCCCCAGCCCCTCTCATTGGCTCTCCTCCAGTTAGTGAAGGTGGAAAACGTTTTTGTCAATTCTGCCATTATTGCCTAGCAGGAAAAGGAGCAGAGCCCAGAAGCACGATTTGGTACCCAGCCTGCCTAACAAGGGAGAATTTTTAGGCTCTGTGGACAGAAGGATTTGGGAGTCCATATCTATCACCCATGAACTTGCTGAGACATTAGTAAAATCAGGGTTTTTTTTCCTGAACTGCATTTCTGCCATCTGTAAATTGAGGGGAGTTTCTTCTATCCCATGAGGCTGCTTGGAGAATTGGTGACAGTGTATGTAGAGCAGGTGCCACCCAGCAGGCATTTGGTGTCCAGACCACTCCTCTCCCCCCTTGATTTTCTGCCTAAATTTGCATTTTGTCCCCAAGACCTTCCTTCACTCCCCTTAATTTTTCTCCTCCCCTGATTCCCACCTTGTCATCTACTCCATGGATTCACCAGGATCTAAGAGGGTTACAGTCATGTATGCACGTTTGTGTATGTATGTATGCACCGTGTTGGCGCTGCAGTGTGGTATGAGTGTGTGAATGTGTTGGAGTCACTGAGTGACTAAATTTCTCCACACCAGGTGGCGCTCCTGCTCATTGCTGGGGGTGCCGTCAGGGCCCCTTGTCTCAACCCCAGGTCTGACCCTTGCAGTGCAGCCAGGCCATTCTGGAGGAATCACACCCTTGGAAGGAGCCCTGAGGAGTGACTGGTAGGTATCAGTGGGTAAATACCCCAGCTCCCTTGATCTGGGTGGGGTGACTCTGAGGCACCTGTTCTATGCTTTCTCTCAGAAGTACCCAGCAGGGCTAAGTCCTGGCTGCCACAGCAGAAACTTTCTTGATAAAGGTCCCTGTAACAGCAGCATTCCTTTTCTGTCACAGCTCCCCACTCTGCTGATGTCTCCTGGGATCAGCACCCCGAGGAAGAACTGACCATAGAATTACTGTCCTACACTCATCTCCACAGAAAATTTTTGTGTTTTAATCTTTGGGTCAGCATCTACTTCCAGGAAACTCAAACTAAGACACATTTTTCTGTTGGCATCTCCGATCCCCATAGACCTGTCATTGTGCTGTTTTTACCAAAAAGGAACGTGAGGATCAGAGAGGGAAAGTCACTTACCCAAAGTCACACAGCTGAACAGTGGTAGAGTTCAACTTTGACCATGGGCTGTCTGGCCCCAAGGCGGATCCTTGTTCCACCTTGTTTTGTGGGTCTCCTCCCTTGATTTTGGATGAGAAACACCCTTTCCCTTCCACTGGGATTGTTTCTGTGGACCCTACACTGAGATTTCCCCTGGTTGGGCAATGAGCAGGTGGGGATGGTGGGAGCAAATCTTTAGAACCAGCAATGCCAAACTAGTCCCATTCGGGGAAGTTCATGCTAAGTGTCATGGGTCGTCTAGAATTTTCTGAAGCTTTCCTCCCCTGTCCCCAAACAAGTCATCTGATCTTCTGGAATCTCTACTAAGATGCTGGCAGCCTGGCCAGCTTGTCTAGTGCTGGACATGCCTTCAGGCGCTGGTTATGCTTCCTGACCTGTGTTGTGGTCAGTGTAAGCAGCTCCTGCTTCTAGCTTCACTGTTGGGCCAGATTTCATCCCCACCGTGGCTCTGCAGTGCACCTTCTTCCTCCATGGACCCTGCACAGAATTGCCCCATGTTTCTGGTCGTGCACCACTGAGGAAGGAAGCATAAAGAACTCACAGGTCAGGCCGTTTCATTGCCCACCTGGTGCTAGGTCTTACTTCTGGAATGGCTTCAAGGGCAGGTTCTTCTTTATACCCCCACTCCACATCTCTCAGGTTTCTGCTCACAAGTCACCTCCTGTAAGGGTCTCTACCTGTCACTGTGTTTGGAACAGCTCCCTCAGTTTCTTTCTAGCTCATCTCACTCAGCTAATGTCTTGTGTTACCACCACCATCTGACCTGGTCTTATGACCTGTTAGCTTCCTTCATCAGACATGAGCACCAGGATGGCAGGGGCCTCATCTGTCCTGTTCCTCCTGTGACCTGGGTCCTAGCACTGTGTCTGGTACAGTATAGATGCTCAAGGGCAGTTGACTTTGAAGAACTGTCTACCTGGGAGTTGTTACTGTTAGTCTAAGCTACATCATTTTGTAAACCCCCAGTCACTTTGCAGACCCTGGTCAGAGTGAAACATTCCACGGGAACTCAGGCCATGAGAAAAAGCCTTCCTAACCGCCTGACTGCAGAAACATCCTTATCACATTTTGCCGGGCAGATGCGATTGCAGGAACATCCTTGCCATATCCTGCTGTGCAGCAAGCTGTACCACCCAGACCGCTCCCTCCAGTCCCGTAATTACCCCAGCCTGTGAGCAGCAGTGGGTGCTGGCACTAAGCCGGTTTCCTTCTCTGCAGGGTTTGCTAGCAATAAAGGTGTTGCTGTTGAAGCCGCCACCTGTCTCTGTCTTTCTTTAACCCTCGCCTTGCGTTCAAAACCCAACAATAACTCCGCCTCTCCATTTAATCAAGGAGGATATGGAACTCAAGGGGAGCAAGTGACTTCCCCAGAATTACAGAGCCAATGAGTCACAGAGCCTGAACTTGAACTCAGTTCAACTGAATTCAGAACTCATTTCTTCCTGACAGTCCAGGAAAGGAAAGGTGGAACTGCAGCCAGTGGGTAGCCCACATGCTTGTTCTGGGAGACCCCAGGCAGGCTCCTGGGAATTGTGTCTTCATGGAGCAAAAGAACTGCTCACCTGTGTTGCATCAGAGAAGTGTCCCCATTGTCCCAAATCATTATTTATTTTCAAAGTTTTGTTTTAATAATTAATCACAGCTCCTTGTTGAAAACAAAGCACAGAGGCATGTAGAAGCCGTGTGTGGGTTTTTCTTTTTCCCAGTGACTATGTAAACAAGTGTATAATAGAACACAAATACGCTCATACTTTTTATGTAGAGATGAGGCCATGCCACCCATATTCCTTTGCCACTATCCTTCCATTTTGTTTTCATGGGAGGGCCACTCTTCCATGTCTAACTCATGTGATTTGGGAAGGGCTAACCCATCCTGGGCAATCAGCTCAGCAGGGTAATTAATTCAGGAATGGGCATGTGATGCAAGCTGGGCTGATGGATGTCATCCCTGCACCTTTGATGAAACTGCAGGGAGTGAGGTGCTTTCTTTTTATTGGATTAGATACTTGCAAGGAAATAAGTGATATGAACTTTATGGGGCCATTTTTGCTGCTCTCTCAAAATAGCCTGCCTGAAAAGCAGAACTGACACAGGAAATGAAGGGACAGAATGAGCCTTCGTTGATATTAGTTGACCCCTGATCCCACTAAGCCAGAAGCCATCTACTCGTGGACATTTTTAGTTATGAGAGCCAAATAATTCAATGTTCTGCTGGCTCAAGTTAGGTTAAGTGGATCGGAACTCACTTGAAGTCAAGAGAGTCCTGAGTAATATCACTTTCTCTTATGCGTAGGTCGTGCCTGGCAGAGCTTTAGAGCTGTGGAAAGGGTGAAGTGAACCCAGGCAGTGCTGAGCTAGCCAGTCTCCTGGCTCAGTGTGCAAAGGAACCGTGGAATTAATACCACTTTGTTCTCACAAGTAGCCTTGCCTGCTGCTTACCATACAGCCATAAAGATATTGCTTCCCTGAGCCCTTAGGTGTCATACCTGTTTTTCAAAATGATTTTTATCTAAGAAAATGTTTTGTAGAGATGGTGTCTTTCTATGTTGCCCAGGCTTGTCTTGAACTCCTGGACTAAAGTGCTGAGATGATAGACGTGAGCCAATGTGATTGGCCAGCACTATACTTCTATTACTTGCCAATGGCTTCTTTGTTCTATAGTTTCTAGAGTGTGTATGAGCATGTGTGTCTGTGTGAGAGTTCATGTGTGTGTGTGTGAGTGTGTGTGTGTGCAAGTTTTTACTTTTATCTTGCCGGATTATTGCAAGCATCAAGTGGGATTCTGCAGGCACAGCACTCAGCCCAGTGCCTGGCACATACAGGTGAGCTGTCTCTGTTCTCCCCTTTTCTCCTCCTGATTCAGAGAATGACTTAGGGATCTGTGATGTGTGCCAACTTTCAATGCCCTGAATAAATAATGGGGAGTTGGAGTATTGTTGCCATAAATTTTTAATTATGACAATTAGTTTTAATCAAGTAATTTAGTTTTAATTAAACTAGTTTTAATCAATTTTATCTGTTTAGCATGAGCTATCTCAAAGTCACTGAATAAATTTATGTCCCATGTTCATACACATAAGTATGTTTCTTGAGAGCTGACAAGCTTAGTGTTTGCTTTGTTCCCTGATGCTCCAGTAGAGGCCAATGTGTTCTGATTTCTTGAGTGATGGCTGCCAGCTCTCCAAGTGTCACCGTAGGTGAGGCATCCATGGGGGTGAGAGCCAAAAATGAGTGTGGCCAGCCAGCATCTGCAAGCTCATTGTGTCTGCTCTCTTAATTTTTATAATATGTTATTCGTGTTTTAGGTTTATCATTTAATCTGCTCTAAACATCTCTCCTAAGATGTTTTTTAATTCTACTAGAGGTTAGTTTCATGAAACAAGTCCAGAGATAGCCCAGGGCAGCCATGGATACACAACATGCCACTGGGGACTGGGAAATCTTGTATATGGAAGGTTGTGTTATTGGGACCATCATCCCAGTGGTCTTCAAGTTGCTAAACCCGACTCAGAGCATTTCATCCTATTTACAGAGAGCAGCAAGCAGAGAGAGCAAAAGGAACTTGATTAAGAGAAAAGTGTAACAATAACTCTCCCCTTTCTACAGATTTTTAGAAATCCAAACCAGTGAATTCTGCATTTCACATTGACCAGGACTATAAGCTCTGCTCACCACAGTTACGAGAAAAACTGGGCAACTTATTTAAAAACACTAATCAGGGAGGCATGGTGGCTCATGCCTGTAATTCTAGCAGTTTGGGAGGCCAAGATGGGAGGATCACCTGAGCCCAGGAATTTGAAACCAGTCCAGGAAACATAGTGAGACCTAGCCTCTACAAAAACAAAGCAAAACAAATGCTGGGTGTGGTGGTGCACACCTGTTATGCCTGCAGTCCTACCTACTCAGGAGTCTGAGCTGGGAGATCACATGAGCTCAGGAGTTCAAGGCTGAAGTGAGCTTTGATCATGCCACTGCACTACAGCCTGGGAGACAAAGGGAAACCATTTTAAAAATATGTATATAAATTAAATGATAAAATGAGGATACTTGAAGACATTTAAACAGTGCTTCTTATGAAAACTGATTCTATGTTCCCTTAGCAAAGAAGATGAAAATAATGGATATAGCAGGGAAATGGACAGAACTGGCCACAGTAGGCCAAAATGAAAGACATAACAGGTACCCAAAATTGGTACCATTAAAAACACATACTCTGACCATAATGCAGTCAAATAGTGACCAATTAAAACAAACTGACAAAAAAGGTATCATGGAGCATACAAATTCTAAATCTAAATGGAAGGGAGCTCAAAGAGGCCTTCATATTGAAAATGAAACCATGTGTATGTAAGTGAATTGTAAAAATCCGACTGCATAGCAACATTAAGGTAGCAGGGCTGAAAGAGCACAGAGATGGGTATCAGTCATACCATTATTTTTAAGAAAGGAAAAACTACAAAATTATCCATTTGGGTTCTAACTGAGGAATAAGACTATGATAATGGCAACAATTGTAAACATTTACAGTGCTTCAGTCCTACTATGGGCTCATTCATGCCCAATAAGTGACAAGCTGGAACTGAAAGCTTTCTTATATTTATTCCAATTCTAGTCTCCCTCAAGGTGTAGAATCATGTGTAACAGGAGGAGTAAGTGTTTAAAGAGGTCTCTTCTACATTTTTTTACTTCCATAAGCAGTCTCTGCAGTGTGAAATCTTGTTTGCATTATGAGTCTTAGGCAACACTGAAGTCTTTTATATATATATATATATTCCTTTTACAGTTTCTTTCCAGTGTGAGAACAATTATCTACTCAAGATTAATGAAGATGAAAGGCTTTCCACAGAGTTTACCTTCACAGGGTTTCTTTTCACGCTTCTGTAAGATATAAGATGTTGCTGTGAATGATAACTCATTGAGCTCCCTTCTAGTATGTCCTCCTCACATGTCCAGTATGGTGAAAAAAATTAATGATGATTTTCCCACCTTTCGTTCACAGGGCTTCTTACTATTGTAAACCTTAAGATGGCTTTTAGTTCTGATGACTCTGCAAAGTCTTTTCCACAATTGTCACATTTATAGGGTTTCTTTCCAGTGTGACTCCTTATGTGTGCATGTTTTGAGGCTTGCTGAAAGCTTTCCCACATTCGTTATAGTCATAGGGCTTCTGCACAATGTTCTTTCTTTCTTTTTTTTTTTAAGAGGTGTCATGTTGACTTTTTATTGAGGAGCGCAGACTGAGACAAAATCATCTTCCAGTTAGGTGAGGTGTTGAGGATCATACTAAAGAGAAGACAGGAAAATGCCAGTAATGGTGAAGGCCTTGAGAAAAGGACAGGACCCACAGACAGTGAGAGATCAGGGGAGGCCCTGGACTTCTTCCCTCATTTCCTTTCCAAATGTCCCAAATGTGCAATGCATCACCTGAGACAAGGCAGAAAGCATCGAGCTCTCTGTTTATCTCAATTCAATGACAAGTAGGACTTTCTGTTTTTGAGATGCGGTCTCATTCTGCACCTGGGCTGGAGTGCAGTGGGGGCAGTCACAGCTCACTGCAGCCTCCAACTCTGTCTCAAGCAACCCTCCTACCTCCATATCCTGAGTGGCTGGGACAAGCATGCACCACCACACCTGGCTATTTTTAAAAAGCTTTTTGTAGAGACAGGGTCTTGCTACATTGCCCAGGCTGGAGTGCAGAGATGCAGTCATAGCTCGCTGCAGGCTCCAACTCTTGGTCTCAAGTGATCCTCCTGCCCTCAGCCTCCCGAGTGGCTGAGACTATGGGCATACACCACATGTCTGGCTAATTTCTTAAACTTTTTGTGGAGACATTCTTGTTTTGTTGCCTAGGCTGGTCTCAGACTCCTGGCCTCAAGTGATCCTCCTGCCTTGGCCTCCCAAAGTGCTAGGATTATAGATGTGAGCTCTCATGCCCGGCCAACAACCAGAACTTTCCATGGACCTTGTGCTTTTGGACCTTGGGTATTTTCTGCAGGTCAAGCCATCCCGACCACTCTGAGAACCTACCCAGGGTTACTCAGCTGTGACTTCAGGTCACTCATAAGCCCACTGGGTAGCTCCACCCGTGGACAGCTGGATTCATTTGTGTCTGTTCTCTGAAGTCATGGATAATCTGACAGAAGTGAAAGGAAACGGAACCTCCACTTCCCTGGGCAAGTCGGAAAAGGGCCAGGCGAGGGCGGGATTCCTTCTCGCTGGCGGTAGCACAAGGAGCCGGGCCTACTCCTTCAGCTAGGAGACCTCATACAGGTACACGGCCAGCATCTTGGTTCCCTCTAAGTAGTTAACGCCTGTTGAGCTTCTCATTCTGGGAGTGGGCTCCGTCATCTGCCGACGCCACAGGCAGCAGCATGACGTTCTTGCCTGTGGCCTCCTGGAAGGTCAAGGTCACGGGAATACTGCCGCCTTCCCTGGTCAAATCTGGCTCAACACCAAAAACTGTTTTCAGGGCTCTTTTCCCAGCCATGTAATGAGGGTGACTGAAGTCTGAGACCCACGGCTTCCCACCTTGAACTTGTTGGGGCCGTGGAGTTCAGCAAACTTCTGAGTTAGATAGCTTGTGACCTGCTCGCTGACGACTTCGGGAGTCATGTTCAGCACGAGCCTGATGGAGAACTTGCCGACCACCTTCCTGGGAATCACAGTCTTGGCCCCCGACCCAGAGAAGGCGCCTTCAATGCCATGGAGGGAGAGAGACAGGTACCGCCATCGGTGCATGAGGATGTCTTTCTTGCAGCAGTGCAGGAGGGTGTGCGCCCGCACTTCCCTGGCAAACTCCTCCCTGTCAAAGTCAATGTCCTCGTACAGCTTGTGCTCCTCTTCCGTCACAGCAGCCACAGCCTCGTTAATTCCGGGGATCAGGATGTTCCCCCTCTTGTCCACTAAAGAGCCCATCAGCAAAACGAGAGCAGCCATGGCCTCATGCACCGAGTCCCCGTACACCCGGAATGCAGGTCTCTGCTGCTGCACGCCACCTCGATGAAGAAGCAGCAGATGCCCCTGAGGCCGGAGGCGATGCAGGGCTGCTTCTTCCCCAGCCAGTAGTTGTCAGAGATGCCGACACAGTCCACGGCCTTAAAGAAGCTGTCTTTCTGGGCGAAAATCAGCTCGCCTAGGCCCTCAGAGCCTGACTCCTCCATGCCGTCGGGGCAGAACCGGGCGTTGACAGGAATCTCCCGGTCTGTTTTCTCTTACACTCCCAGGCCATTCGCCCACACGGCCACCGGCCCTTCCCATCAGTGGAACCTCCCCGTGCAGCTTCCCATCGCGCTCCACCAGGGCGAAGGGCTCGTGTCCCGGCCGTCCTCCAGGGCCGCAGGCTGCACATCCCGGGGCCCGCAAAGGCACACCGTCTTCTTCCGTGGGTCGGAGCCCAGGCTGCCGAGCAGAATAGGAGGGAGCGGGATCTCCGAGCCATCACGGAGGTTTGGTTTCCCACGTCCACCAGCTCCATAGAGCCGCGCAACTGCCTGACGTCTGCAGCGGCAACCTCCATCATCTTCCTGATTTCGCCTCCCTTCCTGGGCCACGCGGACGCGCTCTGGATAGACACCCATTTTGCAAGTTTCTTAAGGTAGGATCCTGATTTTCACCAATGTACTTAAACGGGGTAGCGAGGGCCGCCGTCTTTCAACCAGACCCCAGACCGCAGATCTTAAAGGTTTAGCAGCAGGCGCGGCTCCGCTTCCGCCGCAACGTTCTTTCTTAAATGTTTACTAAAGTGCAGGGAATATCTAAAGCCTTTCTCTCTTTGACGCATTCATAAGGTCTCTCTCCGGTGTGGATTTTCATATGTCTCATAAGAAACGACTGATGAGTAAAGGCTTCCCCACATTTGGGACATGTTTGGCTTTTCTCTCCAGTAGTAGTTCTCCTGTGTGAACCAGAATTTGGAGCAGGGGCAAAGGTTTTTCCACTTTGATGATTCTTATTCTTTGTCTCTACAGTACAGGACTGCATCTGCACAGCATGGACTGAGTTATTTCTGAAGATATTTTCACGTTGAGTAAAATTACACGTTTTCTCCCTAACGTGAGTTATGTGTGCCCGAAGACATACATCGTCTCTGCAGGCTCTTCCAAATGGACTCCACTCATGAATGTTTGCCCTTGTATTAATTTTATTATGTAATGATGGACCTTGTTCTGGCTACCTATCCATGTGTTTGATTTTAGCTCTGTTTTTCTCCCTTATGAAACCCAGGGAATGTCGTGCCTGAAGACCATCACATTCATTTTTTTCATGTATACTATTTTATTTCAATGGTTTCTGGGAAACAGGTGTTTTTGATTACATGGAAAAGTTCTTTAGCGGTGATTTCTGAGATTTTGATGTACCCATGACAAGCAGTATACACTGTACTCAATGTGTAGCCTTTATCCCTTGCCCCCCAACTTTCCCTCTGAATCCCCAAAGTCTATTATGTCATTCTTGTATCTTTGCACCCTCATAGCTTAGCTCCCACTTATAAGTGAGAACATACAATATTTGTTTTTTTATTCTTGAGTTACTTCACTTAGAATACTCATCTCTAACTTCATCCAGCTTACTGCAAATGCCGTTATTTGGTTCTCTTTTAGGGCTGAGGAGTATTCCACAGCATATATGTACCACATTTTTTGGTCCACTCATTGGCTCATAGACATTTAACCTGGTTTCATATATTTACAACTGCAAATTGTGCTGTTGTAAATGTGTGTACAGGTATCTTTTTCATATGACTCCTTTTCCTCTAAGCAGATACCCAGTAGTGGGCTGATACAAAATTTAAATAGAGATAATTATAAAATAAAGCAATGACAAGTGAAAGTTACTATTTCTAGTTGTAAAACAAAGACATTTATTGAATAAAATTGGAACATATTTATGCTCACATAAAGAACATGTAACTGGTATTTTATATAAATGATACGCTTTATTTCACTAGACTCACCCTGTGGTTAATTTGTGAGGGACAGTTGGAGACAGTAATGTATCTTTAAATTTAGCTTCTTGGTTCACATTTTTCTTCAAGTTTCAATAACTTTCTTTTAGGTAAATGCCTCCAAGAAGATGTTCAGATGCTTTGGGCTTCCTGTGGCCTCAAGGCAAAGGGAAAGTGAGTCTGAAGTCTTGTCTTCATGCTGTTCTCTAAACGTCTGCTTTCTCTGTGGCAGATGGTCTCCCTGGTCTGATCGCTGGGGCCATTGCATTGCTCTTCTCTGAGGATCAGAGTGCAGTGGAGTTCCCTTGCTTTATTGGCCTCCTGTTGGCTTGAATAAGATCTTCAGATGTCTCTGAGTTTCAGCAACCTTCTCCTTCCAGGATGTGTCTGAAATGGTCACATGCAGCCTTTCTGGCAGGATCATTTTGCCCCTTGCTACATTAGCCCATGTCATATATGCTAGTTTTCAACTCAGTTAAGTTGCTTCTTATTTACCTCTATGGCACTTCCACATTGCAAAGATTCCTAGGTCTAGCAGGATGTTTTCTATAAACAAATCTTCCAGAAACAGAAGAATGCTCACACAGTAAGTCAGGGAAACCAAATTTATTACTCAAAGAGGGGCAGGAAGAATCAGCAAAAACCTAATTTCTATGACAAGCCTTACCTTTGAGGTCAGAGAAGTTGCCAAGTGTTGACAATCTCCTCTGCGCACGCCCCACTTTGTACTGCAGCTGAGGATCCCCTAAGTTCTCCACTGAAGTTTTATATCCCATGTGCAACTTGGCTCTCTGAGTTTAAAAGTTGCAGGAATATCCGGTTCCAGGAGGAACCAGAACAGAGCCCAGGCTGTTCCAGACAGTTTTTCTCTTCATCTCAGGATATTGTCTTCTAGGAACATTCTACAATTATTCTGAGAACTAGGAGGTAGAGAAAGCTGAGTTTGTCAAGGCCATTAAGGTCTTGTCCTCCTGCCCACATAAAGTAGACTACAGAACAATAAGCATTAGCAGAAATAATCACATTGCATTACAATAGCCATTCTTTGTTATGATAAAAGAATTTATCCACCAAAAAGTTATCCAAATTCTAACTCTGAATGAACCCGACAAACACAGATTTGGGTCCGTTGTTATGCTTTAATACAAGATTTACTAAACCAAAAAATTTAATTAAATACATAAACTCTAGAAGAAGTATAAAAATCATAAAGGCTCATTTCAACAAAGGCTGGTATACAAAGTTATCCGATACGTGACAGAGTAATAGAAACTGTTGACAATGCCTAGATAGGGCAAAGTGAACATTATTACTATTCAAATCAGCAAAGAAGACAGTTAACTCAATAGAAAAATGGGTCCAAAAATTCCAATACATTATTAGCAATCTGACAAATGCAAATGTGCACAAATAAAATGAGATCTGTATTTTCACCACTTGCTTAAAAAATGCAAGAATCTTAGATAACTTGCGTGATAAGGATATGATGAGAAACAACCTTTTTTTTCCCTTTAGAATTATTTTATTAAATCATAAATGTACAACAGCTTCTTAACTCTACACACACACTTAAATTTTTTTAAAAGAAAAACGTTATGTCTTATTTCACCATGATCCTGGCTAATAGCTTTTCAAAACTTTGAGAAAAATCTTAAAAATGTTTCACATGTCACCCAAAACTTACGAATTTAACAGTATCAAAGAAGGAATGCTTCTACACTCTTACAAAGACCACTAGAAAGAAACAACAATTAAAAAGCTAAAAAACTCTCTCAAAGGCATTTTTTTAATAATCTTTCCTCCACAGTAAGATAATGTTATTAAATAATCCAATCCATTCACAAAATAGCTCTCTGCATCTGCTCTGGTGTCTTCTGCCACATCACTGCATATTTATGCATGACTGAGATAAGAGTTTCCTTAACATTGTTATTCCGATAACCTGAAGCTGTTCTGTTACCTCTGGGCTCTCATCCTCTCCTATTTATACAGCGAAGCCCAAGGCAAAGAGGAAGAAGCCTTAGGGGCAACGGAATGAAAATTAAATGGTTGCCAACATTTTGGAAAATAACATGGCAGGACCCATTTAAAACTATGCATACCCTAGAACGTATCTGAATGATGGGTATATATCCCTGATATAGTTTGGATGTGTGTCCACTCCAAATCTCATGCTGAAATGTGATCCCCAGCGTTGGAGGTGGAGCCCAGTGAGAAGTGTTGGATCATGGAGTGGATCCCTTATGAATAGTTTAGCACAGGAATTTCCAATCTTTTGGCTTCCCTGGCCCACAATGGAAGAATTGTTTTGGCCATACATAAAATATTAACAATATGTGATGTTATGTGTCTTGGCCACACATAACACGAACAATACGTGATGAGCTAAAAAAAAAGTCACACAAAAATATAATGTTTTGAGAAAGTTTACAAATTAGCCTTGGGCCACCTTCAAAGCTGTTCAGGCCTGCATTTGGCCCGCAGGCTGTGGGCTGGACAAGCTTGGCTTAGCACCATCTTCTTGGTGATAAGTGGGTTCTCGCTCAATGAGTTCATGAGAGATCTGATTGTTTTAAACAGCCTAGGACAACCCCTTCTCTCTCTTACTCCCTCTCTGACCATGTGACACACTGACTCCCCTTCACCTTCTGCCATCACTGTAAGCTTCTTGTGGCCTCAGCCAGAGCAGATGCCATTCCCATGCTTCCTGTAGAGGCCTGAGCCAAGATAAACCTCTTTTTTAATTAAAATAAATTGCTCAGCCTTGAGTATTTCTTCATAGCAATACAAATGGACTAACACAGCCTCTGACATTGTGATACATGACCAAAAAGTGTCTTCCTAAGGATGCTATTTATGAAAGTGAATCTCTTGTTAGTGGGATATGAGTGTGAACTCCACTGCAAAATTGGATAGGAAAAATGTGGCTGGTTCATTTTATTGAAAACTATGCAGCAGCCATAGGGGAATAAAGAACCTCAAATAACCTACAGCCATGTGGGAATATATAAAGGATGTTATGCTTTCTGAAAAAACAAATAGCGATAAAGTTAGATTTATAGCAAAATACTCTTTAAGAAAAATGTATACAGTCCTGTGTATACACATACACTCAGAGAACATGCGTTTTATTTTGTAAGATTTCTTTATGAGTAAGGAACCTATATCAAACACATTAGAGTACCTGTCTATGACGAGGAATTTTAAAAATTAAATGAGTAAAACCAGAAAGAAACTTGTAGGAAAAATTAATGATAACGTCTCAGGAAGTAAAGAATGTGATTAATTTTCTGAAATTGTGATATGAAAACAGAGACTGTCAAAATCAAACAATGAACTTTAGCATAAAGATTATTGTAGGGCCGGGCACGGTGGCTCACGCCTGTAATCCCAGCACTTTGGGAGGCCGAGGCGGGTAGATCACGAGGTCAAGAGATCAAGACCATCCTGGTCAACATGGTGAAACCCCTTCTCTACTAAAAATACAAAAAATTAGCTGGGCATGGTGGCGCGCGCCTGTAATCCCAGCTACTCAGTAGGCTGAGGCAGGAGAATTGCCTGAACCCAGGAGGCGGAGGTTGCGGTGAGCCGAGATCGCGCCATTGCACTCCAGCCTGGGTAACAAGAGCGAAACTCCGTCTCAAAAAAAAAGATTATTGTAGGGCAAAAGTGTTAAATTTTAAATCCTTATCTTGCATACTTTGATGGAGGAATGGTCTTCTATATGAGGTAGTAAGATACACTAAACAATCCCATGGGTGGACTGGTAGAAAATACTAAAAACACTACTGTATTTATTTTTTTGCTCATTTTTTCCAAGAGTTTCATATCTAAACACTAGGGGAGGCCAGGTGTGGAGACTCACACCTGCAATCTCAGTGCTCTGGGGGTGCCAAGGCAGTAAGAACACTTGAGGCCGAGAGTTCCAGACCAGCCTGGGCAACACAGTGTGTTTTTATGTCTACAACAAAAATTAAAAATTAGCCAAACAGGTTGTTGTGTGGCTGTAGTTCCATCTACTGGAGAGGCTGAGGCAGGAGGGTCCCCTGCGGCCAAGAGTTTGAGGCTGCAGGAAGCCATGATCACTCCACTGCACTATAGCCTGGGTGACAGAATGAGACATTTGTCTCCCAAGTGAAAATAAGTAAGTTCCAGGAAACCACATGATATTTCTAGATTTCAGGCCCTGTTTCAGTTCCCTGTAGATTAAATATTTTGTTTATTCCCAATGCTCCAGCTGTTTCTCTGCACATCCTAGGTTTGTTCTTCTGCCTACTCAAGGCCCCAGGTCCAGCAAATGTCCTGAGGAATGGGCTCTGCTGCTAATCTGTGATCACCTAGGAAGGGCTTGTTTTGCTATGAAATTTAGTCCATTGAAACTTTTGGCCCACAGTTTTTTGATGGCTTAAACAAAAAGAATGTTTTTGTTTTTGTTTTAAAGCTCATCCAGTGCCTTCTCATTATGACAGGAGCAATTACCTTTGGTCAGTTTACTTTAATTGGAAGAAGAACCTCTAACATTGCCACTGTAATGAGGTTTTTGGTCTTTGACCTTAATGGAGCAATTAAATCCAAGACTATTTTCTATCTTATGCATGTATTGAAGGATCAAATGAGAAAATATTTGCAGAATGCATAAAGTATCTAATGTACATTATTAATATGCAGTTGTATTAAGACTACACCCTGAAAATCATGATCAACCTGATCACTTCCTGAGACCTAGAGCCAAACTTTTCCAAGGATACTTAACTGTCAAATAATTCTATTCATTTTTTCAGTGGGGCTGAGGGTTTGATCCATAAACTGCTGCCACAGAATGCAAATCAAGTATGTCAATAAGCATGCTAATTTATTCAGCAAACATATTTTTGTAGGAATAGTTACTAAAAGAAAAAGTAATGTATTGATTTAATTTCTAGTTGATGCTACTTCTGTCATCATGAACTGGTTGCAGATATTTAGAGGCGTAACCCAAAGAAGATGGCATATTCCCTGCACAGCACAAACTCTTGTTTCTCTTTATCTTCTTTTTGCTAAAGTCTACAATCTGTTGGTAGTAAATCCAGATTCTGTGGTACACACAAAACAATCCTTCATAAATTCAAACTTATGCCTATGCTTATGTTTAATTCAATTAGCCTTCAAGAGCCAACTTGAGACCATATTCAGAATGGAAGCTCCAAAAAAGCTATGGCAAACATGTGAATATAAGATCATTATAGATACTGTCCCCAAATTACCTCTGGATTCAGTGGGAAAAGGTGACAAGAAACAGTATTTAGGGCATCTAGGATAGTGCTACCTTCTCACGTCGAACAAAGACAAATTAAAAGCTCATACTAATGTTCTGAAGCCTAACAAGAACTGGTAAGGTTCAGGTCTGTCAAAAAGCCACTGCAGGTTACTGTTAAAACCACCTACACAACCATCTGGAAGCTATTTTCCTCCCTCTGGTTAAAAACAGTCGCATGTCTACTGATGATGTAGTTAAGGCTATATCTAGATCTTCTGTCTCTCAGCGGGAACATGGTTTCTCAAATGCTAATGTTTGACCGACAAAAGTTTTGCAGCCAGAATTTGTGCAAGTATTGGTAGATTAAAATACAAACGAAACCCCTTCTCATGAATGATGAAACAATTAAAAATGAATGCCAGGAACCCGTGTGTGTGTGTGAGTATGCGTGTGTGCGTGTGGATTCAGCTTCGTTAACTTTATTAACATTATTTAAAATTTAATTTTAAAAATAGATTGGGGAGTAAAATGTCATTCTTCCTCTCTCATCGTAAAGCTTTGACTCACGGGATTCTGACATTCTGTCACGCTTGCAAAGTTTGGATTCTGAAACCAGCGGCTGGACTGAGCCAGCCTACGCAGCTCTTACACAAGTGCTCCCTACTTTGCACAACAAGCAGTTCCAAGAGCCTGAAGTCAGTGATTGAGAGACAGGCTCTGAAGCCTCTTCATTTCAACTTCGTGGAATCACCACCTTATTAATGAAGACCAGTAAAAATCAGAATTTTCTGTGTCATTTATCAGATTAATTAGTTTTTCTATAACAAACTGAGTTGGAAGGATAATAAGCAAGAAATTCCCCATCCCTGATTTCTCCTGAAAACAAAAGAATAAATGTATTAGCTTTGTTTTTATTAGGTAGATGGATAGGTCAATATTGCTTGGCTATTTGTCCTTCAACTTGTGAAATATTATCGCTGCATTTTTCTCCTCAATCTCTAGAATCATGGCTAACAGGAGACAATTATGTACTGAATTACTAATTGTATCAAAAGTTTATTCGACTTATTGTCAGAGAGCATCCTCAGATTTATCTATTATAAATAGCAATAAAAATATAAAAACAATATTATAACTGAAATAATCCCTACTACAGAGAAAAGCTATGCACTGTTATGAAAGCCTTTCATATTTAGGGTTATCAGGTCAGGCTTCCCTTGGTGGGGAAGATTGAAGAGCAAACTAAAATAAGAGTAGCAGCTAACTACATAAATATGGGATGGTAGTGGGAAAAGCGTATGCATAAGAACAAAGTCCAGGACATGAAAAGAAGTATATTACATTTGAGGAATAAAATAATATTACTGAATTGTTCACATCAGTGATGTTCATGCCACAAGGGGGGGAAGAGAAGTAAAAGAAACACATTTTGTACTTCTATACATATATATTTTTTATTGCACTTTACACTCTGAGGTACATGTGCAGAACATGCAAGATTGTTGCATAGGTACACACATGGCAATGTGGTTTGCCGCCTTCATCCCCATCACCTATACCTGGCATTTCTCCCCATGTTATCCCTCCCCGACTCCCCACCCCCCACTGTCCCTCCCCTAGTCTCCCCTACAGACCCCAGGTGTGATGCTCCCCTCCCTGTGTCCATGTGTTCTCATTGTTCAACACCCACCAATGAGTGAGAACATTCGGTGTTTGATTTTCTGTTCTTGGGTCATTTTGTATTTCTTGGACCTGATTTTGGACTCTTGCTGTTTATCCTACCACCAATGTGAAGTCTTTGGGAGTTATTAAGCAGAGCAATTTACAATGTAAATTGTATTTACATGTTAAGTAAGTCATTCTGGAGATAGCACAGAAATTTGTGGAGACAGAATCAGGGAGAGCACTTGAGAGGTGCTCACCATAGCCCAGCTGAGAGAGTGATGGGCTGGAATCTATGATGGCAATGAAGATAGAGAAAAATTCACTCAAGAAATAGAAGGTAAAATCTGACAACACTTGAGGGTTGGAAACGGAAATATGAAGAAGAAAGAAATGTCAAGAATTACACTGAGATGTCAGGTGTAGGTAGAGTTTGCTATCATTTTCTGAAAAAAAAAAAAAAAAAAAAAAACAGAAAGAATATCACTTTTAATGAAAGAGACATCTGGGTTACTTAAAGTATCATGAAATGGACTTTTCCAAAATCATTCAAGTAAAAGGAAGGCTGAACTTTGACGCACAAGAGATGGTGATGGCGGTAACAGTGGCCTTGAGACCACTGTTGAGTATGGGTTTGTGCAGGTGTGTATGTGTATGTGTTTACATTGTGTATGTGTCTGTTGGGATGCCACCATTAGGAATTCGGAAGAGTGAAGACCATAAACTTGTAAACATGCTTGCTTCATAAGAAGTGTACCAAACATGTTCAAAAGTAACGAAACCAAGTAAACAAATTAGACATTAATTAAATTTAATGCCGGGCAGGAAAGAAGTATTCAAGGCCAGGAAACAGGAAAAAATATAATCAAATGAATGAATTTTTTAAATTAATTAGTAGAACGAGACAAGAATATTTTTAAACTTTAATTTCTGGTGAATATCAGTCTATAAAACTAAGAATTACATGGCCGTCAATTGACTAAAAGCAGTGCTTAGATTTGAACTAGTGAAACATCCATATATGATTTCCTAATTCCATTGTCTGTCTCAAGAATGACTTGTTTAAATGATTTCTTTTTGAAATGTTACATTCTCATCTTGAAAGAGCTTCACACAACTTATATGAATCTGGATTGTCATAAGACGTGTGGTTTTGTTAATGGTATGTTTGTGTGTCTGTTATGTACATCAAGATCAAACGCAGTTCCTGAGCTGTTCTCCAGAACACAATTTGACTTGTAATAACACTCAATAAATGGTTGGTTGGATAATCAAATCAGCACCTTGGTTTCATCAATGTTCATTTCATATAAAAGTGACTGATCCTCTGTACTCATCAATGAAACAGAGCGATGAGGGAGGGAGAGACTAAGAGGACGAGAAGCAGACCTCATTCTGCAGCGGATTTCCTGCACTCTACACTTCTGAATGCTTGGAAACACTTACCATACTCAAAAACTGTTTGCATTTCCTAGGCAGAAAATCGAAGTTAAAGAAAGTCCATATTCTATATTACAATAACTTCCACTATCACACACAGATGATGTACATTTCTTAAGCTATTCATAGAAAGTGCAGACACATTTATGTGAGCAAGATTCAGAAGAAGGGTTAATAATCAAGCTGAGTATGATTGTGAGATTCAGTCTAATATTTTATACTATTATTGTTTAATTGTATCTGTTGAAACTAAAGGTGGGAGAGTTTCTCATGAGCTACTGAAACTTACTGCATGATGCTGGGAGAGAGGCTGGTCCATGTGATTAGGCCAGATGTGTTTGCTAACTGTGGCTTAGGAAAGTTAGGTTCCTAACCACTCTCAGAGACTGGGAGACATGGAAGCTAAATTTTATAACATTTACATTTAATAATACATAATAAAATCTTTAAAATGTCAATTTTGTCTTTTCGTTAGTTTGCAATATTTTGTTTTCAGCAAACCATTGTTTTTAAGTACATACGATTTGTGTATTTAAAAAATGTGTTAAAAATATTAGACAAACTCTCTTTTTATCACCTTCCCTTTCTACCCTTTTTTGCCATTTACATCCACACATTCACCCACACATGCACACACACATACTGACCAAAATTAATTTAGATGTACAAGTGTGTTCTTTGGAGTAAAATGTCAACCTATATTAGTAAAAGTGTCACACCAATTATATTTATAATCCTCCCTTCTATTTGTTTGTTTGTTTGTTTTTCTGTTTTGTTTTCTTTTTTTTTACAGGTAGAGTTTCACTCTGTTGCCCAGGCTGGAGTATAGTGGTGCAATCTTGGCTCACCACAACGTCCACCTCCCGGTTTCAAGCGATTCTCCTGCCTCTGTAACCTCCTGAGTAGCTGGGATTACAGGTGTCCCCCCACCACTCCCGGCTAATTTTTGTATTTTTAGTAGAGACAAGGTTTAAACGTGTTGCTCAGGCTGGTCTTGAACTCCTGACCTCAGGTGCTTTGCCTGCCTCAACCTCCCAAAGTGCTGGGATTACAGGCGTAAGCTACTGCGACTGGCCTTATAATCCTTTTAAGAAGAAAGAACTCCCTTAATTTTTTGAAGAGACTATTCTGGATCCATTTTATGATTTTGTGGCCATCAAAAAAATATATCCAATTATAGACACAGCGAATATAATAAGCAGTAGTTTAAAGTGTTTACTTTTGATCGGGTGTGGTGGCTCACACCTGGAATTCCAGCACTTTGGGAGTCCGAGGTGGGTGGATTACCTGAGGTCAAGAGTTCGAGACCATCCTGGCCAACATGGTGAAACCTCCCTCTCTACTGAAAATACAAAAATTTGCTGGGTGTGATGGTGCACATCTGTAGTCCCAGCTACTCAGGAGGCTGAGGGAGGAGAATCGGTTGAACTCGGGAGGCCAGGACTGCAGTGAGCTGAGATGGCGCCACTGCACTCCAGCCTGAGTGACAGAGCAAGACTCCTTCTCAACAATAAAATAAAATGCTGAATTTTTACAAGTCTTTGTCCCCATTCTCTTTTTTGAATGCAACCACGCCCTCTAGCAAACAGCCTTGTTAAACTAATTTGCTGATGATAAATTCTTAGCAAGGGAATTCCACTGGAATTTGTTTTGCTCTTTTATGTTCAAGAAAATTAAGAGCCTGAAAAAAACGAATTAATCTGTAAATCTGAATTACTTTCTGTACAGTTCCACTGGTTTGCAGTGTTTTGTCTTTGTATCAAATCACATGATAAAACATTGGTTTTATGTTGGTTGATGACAATTTTTCTTTTAGCTACTGCTGCTGAAACCATGGAGAAAAAAGGGGTTAAAAAAGGTTAATTTCCAGAACTAATTAATCTTTAATTAAATGTCAAAGAAAAATTGCCAGAGATGGTGTTAAAGAGATGGAGAAAATGTTGTTTAAGGTTATTGCAATAGAGGGGAAAGATGGAATTCAACTCTTGAAACAAGAGGAGGGAGAGTTTTGTATGAGCTAGTGAAATCTACTGCATGATGCTAGGGGAGAGGTTGGCCAATGTGATTGGGCCAGATGTATTTGCTAATTGAGGATTAGGAAAGTTAGTTTCCTAACCTCTCACAGAGACTGGAAGATAGGGGTGCAATCTTTCTAGATGATTACCTTGCAATGTGATAGCTCCCAGGTCCTTG